GTGTGAGTGTGAGTGTGAGTGTGAGTGTGTGTGTGAGTGTGTGTGATCAGAGGCCAGGATTGTGTCACATGCTCCTCCTCTCTTACAGGCACTACCACAGCATCGAGGTGTTCACACACTATGACCTCCTGACCCTGAACGGCACAAAGGTCGCGGAGGGTCACAAGGCCAGCTTCTGTCTGGAGGACACGTACTGCCCTGAAGGTGAAGCTCTAACGCTGCGATCTGTACTCACAGATAACCAGTGTTCACTAGCACACAAACTGCAGCGCTGTAAACCTCTCAAAGCATGGTGAACTCGCGGTCAAACACAGGGCTTCTCAATCAGGGCCTAAACTCAGACAAAACAGATTCAAATCAACAGCTGTTTTTGTCTCTGAAGTCCGGATATTTCAGGAAGACTTGTTTTAAAAGTGACTTATAGACTTGGAAAATTGTTAATTATTATGGGTGTTAAAAAAAAAAAAGACTAAAGAATGTAATGTATCTGGCCAAAAACATAATTAAGTTAAAGTTAAAGTACTGAGTGTAGAAGTCACCTCTCAAAATTAATTGTGATTAATCAGCATATTGTGTATTTAATTTGATTACAAATTAATTAATTGACAGCCATTATTAATCTATATAATATTTATTTACTGTAATATAATGGCAGTAGCATTAATCCATTCTCTGGTAAGAACATTTACAAAGAATTTAATTGTTTTTGAAATTAGAGAACAAAAAACTATTAAATTTTTTTTTATTAAATGTTGAAAACGTTTGGTTTTTTAATCAAATATTTATAACATTAAAAAAAATTAATAGTGGCCATCAAAATCTGAATCTTTAGATTAATTCTGAGTAAATATGATTTGAAGTGGACAGTTTCCACTGACTAATGGATCTGATGCTGATAACTTCAGCTCGGTTAAAGCTTTATACATATTTCTACGTTTTCTCTTTATGGATTTTCTGAATTGTACTTTTACTCTCAGAACCATCTTGTTGTTCAGAGTAAAATAACGCCAAAAACTGTTCGGATAATAATGAGCTGATCGTCAAACATCACAACACTTTTTGGGCTCTTCAAAAACTTTTTATATTTTTTCAAATACTTTTTTTTTTTTTCGATTTTTTTTTCAGAATATTTTTCTTTATTTTTCCCAAAAACGTTTTTTTTTCAAATTTTTTTTCAAATACTTTTTTTCATATTTTTGTATTTTTTTCAAATACGTTTTTTTTTTTTCTTTTTTGATTTTTCAGAATTGTATTTATTAATTTTTTTCCAAAAATGCTTCTTTTTTCAAAATCTTTTTTTAAAGACTTTTTAAATATTTTTGTATTTTTTCAAAGACTTAAAAAAAAATCAGACTTTTGTCTTTTTTTAATTTTTTTTTTGACTTGTATTTTTTCAAAGACATTTTCCTTTTTTAATTTTTTTTTTCCAAAAACATTTTTCTTTTTTTCAGACTTTTTTCCATTTTTTTCCAAAAACTTTTTTTGAAAGATTTTTTTTTTAAATACTTTTTCTCTTAAAAAACGTTTCCCTCTTCAAAAACCTTTCTTTTTTCAAAAACTATTTTCTGCATAATAATTGGATAATAACGAGCTGATCGTCAGAACAAAAATGTCAGGAGTAATTTTACACTGGAGTGAAATAATACTACAGTACAGTGATCATGTGAAACTCTTGGTATTGATCTGAACGCTGATGAAAGTGAGAGAGTAATGATGTCATGCGGCTCCGTCTCCACGGTAACAGGCCTGAGCAAACGCTACAGCTGCTATAACATGGGTGATCAGGGCATCAGTGTGGGCTGCTGGGATACGTACCGCCACGACATCGACTGCCAGTGGGTGGACATCACCGACGTGCGGCCCGGAGACTACATCTTCGTTTCTGTACGGCTGCCACGCCGGTGAGACTCACCTAATCTAACTCTAACCCTAACCCTAAACTAAAACTAACCCTAACCAGCTCAGCTTCAGTCGTCTGAAACCTCAGATCATCATCAGACCCGCTGCAGATCCCCAGAACACTGAGAGTTACACCACACTCTAAAAAGACTGTTGATTTCTGCTTCAAACCTACACTGCACAAAACACACAAATTAAGAAAGAAATAGAAACAGTAGTAACTACATGAGAATTTTAAAAACGTTTAGTGCTTTAGATGCCTGCCATTTGTTCTAAATATATCATACAAATAAATAATGCGTAAAATTAAAGTAACAAAAATATTTGTTAAGCTGTAAATAAAATATTATTGGAATATGTTTTACGAGACTTTATTTCTAGGGGACCTGTAATATTACAGAAACATGAAAATACATGAATAAATACATTTTTTAAAATTTAAAACGTTTAGTACATTTGACACCTGTCATAAAATGTTTACTAAATGTTTAATAAAAATTAATCATGCTTAAAATTTAAATATTTGTTTTATTTCATTCACAAATAAATCAAAGATTATTGTAATACTTTTTAAAAGAAAATACTATTTTAGTGTTTCTTCTTAAAAATGTCATGTTTAATTCAAAGTTACGCACGCTTTCTTTGTGAAACTTAAAACACTGCACATTTTCTAACTTCTATTTTAGTTTATTTATTAGTATTCTCATTTATTAGCTATTTATTTTATATTTTTGCACTGGATTACTGAAATGTAGTTTAGTTTTTATGTGAAGTGTAAGAATGCTTACTAGAAATTTCTAAGTGAAATTCTTACGAAGTAATTTTTTTTTACTTTTTTTTTTTTTGTTACAATAAATAAAGTAATTAAGAATAAATTTCAAATAAAAAAGATCGTTGTTTGAAGCTGTAAATAAAACTCCAAAGATTATTGGAAAACACTACTTTGGTTTTTATACTTAATCTCACGTTTAATTAAAAGTTGTTTTCTGTGTTTCAGGCGACGCTTACAGTGCGGAGGCAGAGGACCTGTTTGAACACCAGCGTCAGATCTCAAACAACTTCCTGTGAAGCGCTGCAGGACTGACGCCGTTTCTCTGATCGCCGCGTCACAGCTCTCGATGGGCGGAGTCTGCGTGTGGGGGCGGGGTTAGTGTGATGATTGACAGGCGGGTGTTTACACTACAGTTCGGCCAGTATTGATGAAGCAGAAGATCAGAAGAACTTCCTGCCGTTATAATGAAGGGATTTCATCTTGATGAGGCTCATATACCTATTCATTCATCTTCATCAGCCCTGTGAGATTCTTAGGAAAACATTTAAAAAACCACTAATTTACAACATTGATTTGAAGTAAACGTTCTTTCCCCAGTGTCATGCTTCCAGCTTCTTGTGCTCGTCATTCTCATATTCTATTTCTCACAATGTTGTTGTTTTTTAAGTGTGGTTTAGTTTGGTCTGTTGGAGAGAAAACATGTTTATTCCCCGTTTTTTATTTTAAAATCTCTCTGTAGGTCAGCGGTTCTCAAGCAGGGTGACTTAAAAGTACTTCAATTACTTTTTAAATATATTTGTAACATTTTCTTTAAATGATATTAAAATTAAATTAAAAAGCAGATTATTTTTTTGAAAAATTAAAATAATCTAACTCAAAATGCTAAAAATTACTTTAAAATATGTTCTATCTCTAAAAATTAAAGAAATTATGTAAATTAAAATGCTTAAAAAACTTTTTTTTCCAAATATTCCCCCCCCCTTCATTAATTCTTTTATTGAAGAAAGTTTTTGAAATTTTTTGAATCACAAAATGAATTATAGTTAATTAAATATATTGATACCCCAATTTCTGTTAATGAAAATGTTGAAAACAAGCTGCTTTGTCGTAACTATTGTTGAACATTGGGTTTGAAGGACTTTTTACTCTGAAAGCTTGAGATCCGCGTCTGTAGATGATTTAAAGCCTTACAGCCTTCGTTTCTGATGTGTATTTCGCTGGCCACTGGTGCTGATTTTAGTGGCTCATTTAGTCTTGAATATTATTATGCGTTATTATAATTATTCCTGGCTCGAACGGAGCAGCAGAATCTGTGTTATAAAGGTTTCTTCACGGTTGTATCGGCATGCACGGGTTTGTCGGACCTCAGTTTTTCTCTCTGTGAAGAGAAACAGTTTTACAGATTGTGCTTCAATACTTGAAAAATAAACGTCTCGTGTCAAACAGAAGAAATCTGATATTCCATACTGTATGAACCCAGAGATTCATGAGAATAAAGAACTCAGCTGACAACTATTATACTTTACATAAACTCACATAAAACCATTCATACGCATAGAAATGTCATAATTCTTGTCACCAGTGTCAATATCAGAAACTAGTACTAGCCTAAAAAACAAAACTCTGAAGTAAAGGTTAAATAAGAATCAGAGCAGAACAAAAAACAGGAAATGCTACATATATTGTATAAAGTAATCAAATGTATAAAAACACTGCATATTCTTCAGTGTAAATTAAATCTACATTTCTTCTTATTAAAGTTAGAAGAGTGATTGAGTCAAGAGCAGTGAGAGATTTTCTCTCTTGTTGTTTGATTAACATGAAGGACAGAATATTAGACTGCTGTCACTTTAAGAGCTACCCGCGTCCAGTATACTGTTACACGTGTTTTCGTTCTCAGCGGTTTGTGTTCATTTAAGACCGAAATTACTGTGTTTACGAGGATACTTGCACACACATATACAAGTGTGTATTTAACCGTTTAAGGCCTATAAAGCGGCAAAAATAACTTCGTGCACAAAATAACTCTTTTTCAGCTCTTTCGCTGCTGATTGCATTTCAAATGGCTTAAAATCACTTGTTAAACAGCAATGCTTAAAAGCGTGTGCAAACGATACGTTTTCATGACCACATAGCACAGCAACGTCACGTGAGCGTGTAACCACGACAACAACAGTCGAAAGTCTCTACCGGTTAACCGTATATCGCCTGCCCCTACTAACACATCCAAAACATGATCCATTTCTGAAAGAGATTTAGAAGTAAAGCACACTGACTGACTGATGATCATGATGACTCTGAAAGTGAATCGCTTCATTCGGAATGAATCTTTAAAACACTCAAGACACAGTCATCAGATGATTCCCCTGAACAGACAAATAAACAATCCACACGTGAACGTACAGTGATTCACTTTAATCAAATAGCAAAAATAAATTAAAGAAACATAAATGGAAAATGAATGAAACATTCCGGAATGAGGAAGCTCAAGGCAGAAGACATGAAGACGGTATAAAACTAAACGTGTGTGTGTGTGTGTGTGTGAGTGATTGTGTGTGTGTTGCGCGAGTGTGTGTGTGTGTTGCACAAGTATGTTTGTGTATGTGGGTGGGTGTGCACAAGTGTGTGTGTGTGTGTGCGAGTGATTGTGTGTGTGTTGCGCGAGTGTGTGTGTGTGTTGCACAAGTATGTTTGTGTATGTGGGTGGGTGTGCACAAGTGTGTGTGTGTGTGAGAGAGAGTGTGTGTTGCACGAGTATGTTTGTGTATGATGGTGGGTGTGCACAAGTGTGTGTGTGTGTGTGTTTCTCTCCAATATAGACACGAATCACAGCATCATTCCCGCTGATGAACATGAATCCATGTTTTCTCTGCTCCAAAGGCAGCGTGAGTCACACATGTTTATCTCACGCATCATGCCCTACAGTGAGCAGTTTAAAAACCTTCGTCTGTACAGGAAACACAGTCTGGATGGATGGAATAATGAAGCACAGGAAGTTCGTCTGTACAGCAGACACTGAAATCATTGGTACAGTTCAGCGTTCTCAACTAGGTCCTGTAGTGGATCGTGATCCGCTCAGAATCATGTGACGCGTCCGGAGGAGGACAGAGACGTCAGCGAGTCCGAAAGCTTCTCCATGAACACAGATGAGACGGACAGAAGAGATGACATGAGAAAGAGGACACCTGGTGAAACTCCCAGAATCCTCGGCGGTGATGGAGCGTCCTGAACGTGAGATTCTCGGGCTAGTTCCTCTTCTTGACGTTGTTGTTTGAGGACAGTCTCTGTCGCGGCGTCGGCATCACGGCACTCAGCGTCACTTTGCTCCGCGCGACCTCGAACAGTTTGGAAAAGACCTGAAACCAGAGACGCATGTTAGTAACACACACACACACACACACACACACGTGTGATGGAGGTGAAGAGGTCAGAGGTCACTCTCACCTTCCGTGGCGTCCTCTGTGTGAGCATGGAGTGAGAAGAGAGCGAGACGTTACAGACACAGAACAAGAGTTTCAGAGCTTAACTTCAGCACTGAATGAGCAGCACAATCTTCAGGATCAATGAAAGATCAAATCTACAATATAAAGGTTTATTACTCGAGCTGAGAAGCGTCTAAATCATCATCATCGAGGTGGTCTGATTCTGGGGAACCTACATGATGGCCAATTACAAATTTATACTGTTCGGCTCAAAATAAATAAATGGGGGATAAAAAATGTTTTATATATATATATAAAATTAATAAAAGAAACAATAATTGTGAGAACATTTAAAAACATTCAGTGTTTTTAACACCTACCTTAGAAAGTACAAAAAAAAAAAAAAGTTCAACATAATAAATAAATAGTTGAAATATAAATAAAATCATTTTTAAAAAAATAATAAAATCTACAATATAATAGAAATAGATAGTTAAAAACATTCAGTGCTTATGACACCTGCCTTGGGAAGTTTACCTGGGGGAAAAAGGGTTCAAAATAAATTCATAAACTTAAAATATCCATATAAAAAAAACAAATACATCATAATAAACAATAATAACAGTGTGAAAATGTCAAAATATTTAATATTTTTGACACCTGCCTTAGAAGGTTAACTGGGGGGGCCTTAAAAATAAAAATATAAACAAAACAAAACAAAACCTGAAAAAGTATAATAAAAGAAAAAAAGAAAAGAAAATAAAAATAAATACTTTAATAAAAATAAAATATACAATAAAATAGAACCAATAATAACATTAAGTTCCTTTGACAGCTGTCTTAGAAAAAGATACAAATAAAAAATAGATATAAATATACACAAAACAATGAATGGACAAATAAATAAATACAACAGAAACAATAACTGTAAAAATGTAATGATGTTTAGTGCTTTTGGCATTTGCCTTAAAGTTTACTCAGGAAAACAAATGTTTAAAATAAATACATTAAAAAACCTAAGAAAATATATAACATTATATAAACAATAATAACCTTTTAAAGGTGACATATCATGAAAATCTGACTTTTCCAGGTTGTAAGTGCTATAATCAGGTCCTGGTGCATCTACCAACCAAGGAAACGTGAACAAGATTAACCCAGTAACTTTGTTTTGATAAGCCTTTTTCTGCAAGTGTCTGAGAAAACCAGCGCGTCCGATTTTGCTCCCTTGGTGACGTGGCAAAGGGATCTCATTATAATATCACCGCCCCTTAATATGCTAATTTACACCCACGGCGCCGTTATTGTGTTTTCGCAAGCGACAACGGTGTAGCAGCTCTAATGCCATGATGAAAGATTGAGCAGAACAAGCTAACTGTTCTGTGTTTGGCTGCACAGACGAGCACAGAACACTGTTTAGAGTCCCAGCCTCAGAGGAGACGACAGAGCAGTGCATTTATTGATTTATTTACTGTATATTGCTGCTGCCACACAGATCTAAAATAAACGTGATTTATTTCCCAGCTGTTTACCTTCACAGACATAACCCACTGTTTTTGTAACTCGTGTGTGTTTTTAAGGTAAACTTGTGTGTGAATGAGAACTTAGTTTAGTACTCACATGCTGTGACAGCCGCTTTCTGTGCGTGTGCTTCGGATGTGTGCGCTCAGAAAACCCTATATCAGAAGTTTAAACTAATATGGTTTAAAACGCATGATTTCAGCGCAATAAACATGATAATCAGAACCATAACAGATGTTTTTAGCAGGTCCGAGCTCTAATGGCGCAGCTCTATTCTGGAAAAGGGGGCGGGGAGCAGCAGCTCATTTGCATTTAAAGAGACAAGCCCGAAAAACAGCGTGTTTCTGCTTCCACTCAAAATAGGAATTTTCAAAATGATATAACAACTGATCTGTGGAGTATCACAGACACAATCTGGGGACACCAGAGACTTATATTACATATTGTAAAAAGGGGCATAATATGTCTCCTTTAAAACCTTTAGTGTTTTTGACCACTGCCATACTAACTCTACGTTATGACCTTTCTGAATGTCATGATTAAGTCAATGTTTTTAATACAGCTGGATGGGAGACAGAAGTGAGGAAGACGAGAAACTGCAGAATAAGAGTCCTGTTGTGCTGCACTACAGACAAACAGGAAGGAAGCAGCTCTTGTGCTGACGATGTGATACGCACCTGCTCCCACAGGGTTTCTGCCAGCCGGTCGATGAAGCAGCCCAGCTCTCTGAACTCCCCGGAGTATCGGACATAGACCCAGACGCAGAGCGAGAGCAGCGCCAGGCCCATCAGCAGGTTACACAGCGCCGCCGCAGGGCTCAGACCCACGAAGCCCGTCACCACCGACGCCACGTACATGACGAACATCACGGCGAACAGCGTGGCCGGCGTGCGCGCCGCGAAGAAAATATTCTTCCCGTCGTTGTGTTTGAGGAAGCTGGCGTAGGCCTCGTCAATCTCCTGCTCCAGCTGCTCCTGATAGCGGAGGCAGAACTCCTCGCCGCCCATCTTCTTCACGCCGCGGAACTGACGCACACAGCTCTGCTTCAGCTCCTCGTGACTGCGCTCCAGATCCGCCGGGGTCATGCAACGTTTCAACACGCGTGTGTTTTGGAAAGCTTTTGGGTTGGGGTCAATTTTTTTGCACATTTTAATTAAGACTTTTGTTCTATAATTTAAGATTATTTTATGGCCTCACACTGGATCAAAGTGAATTTCAGGACCGGTGGGCATCCTGCTTCATAACATCTAAAGATATCAATGAGATGGAAATATTAACAAAAGTTTCAATAACAACGTCTATAATAATGAAAGATTTCATGGAGCTCATGACTACATGAATGATGCATGTAGGACCCTAAAAATATATTTTTTTCACAAATTCCATGTTTTCCGTTTTAATTTTCCTACATTTTAAACAAAATTTTAACTAAACTGTAATAACTCAAAAAATAAATTGAATTCATCAACAATAACTAATTTTGTGTTTGTTAAAATGTTTGTGGATTTTCTGGATTATGTTTCATGATTTAGTACAAAAATCAGTGGTAATCTAATGGATGCATGAAACTTCGAAAAATGAAAATGTAACAATTTCTTAGATTTTTTTGGCAAACAAAGTGCTGAGGCTTACGGTTTAAATTACAACATGGACTAAAAATTGTGAGATCGTGTGAGATATTCTTTAAAAATAAAGTTTCAATAAAGTGTATTATTACGACTCTAAGAAGTACATTCTGTTGCACAAGTCATAACTTCAAGTTAAACTGCACGTAACCGAAGCATGTGAGAGACCTTCTAATGGGCCAAACTGATGCTTTCTATGAGACGTGACGATCACGTCTGTACCTGTAACATGGACTTGGGATGCGGCAGGTCTTCACCCTGATAGATCTTCATGTAGGCCTGCGACAGAGAAACACACGGTCAATCCCAGCAGGCATCTGAACGATGGAGACGCAGTGGAGAGGTGTGTCTTACTCTGAAATACTGCAGCAGATCTCGACACGTGACTTTAGAGCCGCTGATCTCCTTATAAGCAGACAAGCAGACAGACAGACATAAGCAGACAGACAGATACACAGACAGATACACAGACAGACAGACAGATAAGCAGACAGACAGACAGATAGATAGACAAACAGACAGACAGGCAGACAGACAGACAGAAAGACAAACAGACAGACAGACAGATAGACAGACAGACAGATAGACAGACAGACAGACAGACA